TTTTATAATTTATAATTATTATTAATTAAATATATATTTTTAATTTATTATATTTATATTAAAATATATATGTAAAATAAATATTTAATCATTTTTTATTTATAATATTATTATTATTATAACATTGTATTCAAATATTTGGATACTTATAACATTATTATTATTATTATTATACTTTATTCAAATAATTGATTATATATATAAGTTAATTTATTTTTAAGTTGTCATTTAAAAATATGAAATATATAGTTTATAAAGAAATATTTAATAAGTTAATTCTTATTCTATTAGTTCGAAATAATAAAAGTTTAAATTATCAATTCCTTTAATCCTTTAGAATACAATTATTTTATTAAGATAAAATTTGATATATGATAAATAAGAATAATAAGATATAAAGATGACATAATAAAACCTAATAAATATAAATTATAAATAAAATAATATTAGTTACTACTAAGATTTATGTAAAAGATAAAGAATAAAAAAAATTAACTTTGTATTCATCAAATTGGTTGAAAAGATTGAAAAAAAAACAAATTGATGGGAGAGATTAAGGAAATGTGAAAAACTGAAAGGTAAGAGAGAATAATGTAATAAATTAATTGATATAAAAATCAAAAAAATTAAAAAGTGGGTAGAAGAAAAATAAAAATTGGTGAAATATAAAAAAATGATCTTATATGTAATAGAAAAAGAAAAGGAAATACTTTTAAAATATTAATATTTTAAAATTTAAATTTAAATATAAAGTTCGAGTGGGACTGGGTGGAGATTGCATTACCCATCCCCGCCCCGCTCCAACTTTTTAAAGCGGGGATGGGTAATGCAATCTCCACCTCGACTTTTTTCCCATCAAACTCGAAGCGGGACTGGTCGGTCCCCACATGTACTGGGTTTAATTGACATCGGTGTTTTAATTTTTAATTTAGATAATATGTAAACCTAAAGAGAATGATATTTATATTTTAAAATGCATCATACGACTTTATATTAAATCATTAAACTAATGAGTTAATTTTAACTTCAATTTTTTATATTCAACTTGGTATTTCTTTTATCTTTTATATTTTATCTAAATTTTAAAAGTTATCAAAATCATTTTAATGGTTAAAAATTACTACGAACCAATAAATTGTTTTTTTATACATTTTTGTCAACTTAATTGTTATTATAATATTTAAGTTTTTAAATGCTACAGTAATTATAAATATATTGATTTAACATTTAATATTTAATTTATTAATTTAATAATAACATACATTTTTATAATTTTACTATTGTAATTAAATATAATATTATATTAAAAAAATTAAAAGATATGATGAAATTTAGATAGGAAAAAAATATTGTGATATTGGGTGTATTTTGCATGAAAAAAACTATTATAATAAAATAATATATCATAGATAATATAATTATATATATATATATATATATATATAATATGATAGTTTAAAGAAAATCAAAATTAATGTTAATTAATTTTTAAATATAATATTTTTTCAATAAATAAAAAAATATAATATTTAAAAATATATTTTTTAATATTACATAATTTTTTTGAAAAAAATATAAAATAAAATTGAAAAGGTGAAAACCGAGAAATATGAAAAAACAATGAACTTATAATAATTAAAAGATAATAATATACTTTTCATAGAATACAAAATATTAACAATTATTTTTAGAACAAAAAATTATGTAAACGATATTATAGAATAATAGATATATTATTATTGATTTATTGAAATAAAATCAATTAGTATTTAAGGTAACATGAATTATTATTTCTTAATATAATTATAACATATTATGAAACAATTTGTATTTAAGATTTATTGATTAATTTATTTAAAATATATATTTGTAATATAAGTGTTTTTATTATAATGAAATATGATAATATGTTTTTATTAATCATAAAACCTAAGAAAACATTAAAAAAGTCTAGTAGAAAAAGAATTATGATAATTTAATAAAAAAATTGAAAGTCTTTTTACCATAACTAATTGTTATAATATATTTTTATGAATTAAAAAAGTAAAAAATATTGATAAATTTTAGTTGGATATAAAATAAATATAATTTTTAAAATTATATATATATATATATATATATATATATATATAATAATTTATGTATAAATCAATAAGATGAAAATATTAGTTTTATGCACTAACTTAAATTAAATATATGATATAAATAAAAAAATTTATTAAATTTAATATTTATACATATTAATTTAAATTTGTACAATTTACATAAATTTTATTTGGTATTATTAATTTATTACTTTATATAAGTTTTATAATTTAATTATAATACTTTTATGTATATTTTTAATTTTTATAAAAAATATTTATCATCATGAAACTATATCAGATTTTTTTATATATATAATAAGGTTGTTGGTTGATTTTTCTAAATATATTTCGTGTTATTTTTAAATATAAAGTATAATTAGTAGTGAAAATAATAACTGTTAAGGTGAAATTGAAATTGAAAAAGTATAATAAATAAAATGTTTAAAAATAAATTAAACAATATTATTTTAAAAAATTATAGAATTATAAAAATAAAATAAAATAAATATATTTAACATTATTTTAATAATATATTAATATTTCATCATTCTATTATAATTTTTATATCATGTCCAAAATTGATAGGGAATAACTTTTAAAATAATTTAAAAAAATCAATACTTATATTATAAAATATTAAATTAACGAATAAAAGTACTTTGATAAAATAGATTAAATATATAATTAACTACTTCTTTATAAAATATTTTTATTTTATCTTTGATATTATATGATTAATTTGTATTTTTTAACTATTTTTTATAAATTTCAATTTTAATAATTCAATAATTATTCAATAAATAGTAATTTTTTATTTTATCTTAATACTATAATAATAATTTTAATATTAATTACTTAAAATATATAGTATAATAAAAATGTAAATATGATTAAATATAATAATATTTTTTTATAAATTAAAAGAATATAATTATAAATAAATTTTATGTCAAAATAATTTCAAATTTTTATTAAATACGATAATAGGACATAATATTTAATAAAAAAATTAATAGATAGATAACAAGTTATAAAATCAATTAAAATTTAACACTCAGATGGTAAAATTTGTTCAATCATAATTAAATATAATATATTATTATTATTATTATTATTATTTATTAACATTTAATAGATATTTAAAATAATATAAAATATTATTTATTAATATAATATTATAATAAATTGTTATAAAATAAAAATGACTATGAAATAATTTTTATTTAATATTTATTGATTGATTGACTTAAATTATATATATTTATAACATATTGATTATGTTATTGTAATAATATATTAATTAAAAAAATATAAGAAAATAGCAACAAAATTTACGTGAAGAAATAAAAATGATAATATCAAATATTTCTAGATAACTGATTTTTTTATAACAAATAATAAATATAAAATCATAAATAATAAAATAATATTTATTTATTTTATTATTTAAATATAAACATTATTAAAAAGTATTTTTACTATAACTAATTATATTAATATATTTTTATGATTAAAAAATAAAAAAATTGATAAATTTTAGTTGAAATATAATAAATATAATACTGTCACGTATAGACAAATATTTAAAATATAATTGAAATACATAATATATAATAGATAATTTATGTTATATCAATTGAAAATATTATCTTTATATCACTAACTTAAAATCAAATTTCAATTAAATAAAATATTATTGCATATTAATTTGAATTTGTATGATTTATATAAAAAAATGCTATTAATATTTCATTAATTTATATAGATTTAATAATTTAATTTTAGTATTTTTGTTATAAATATTTCTTTTTATTTTATTTTATACAAAATATTTTTCATTAATTCATGAGATTATGTAAGATTCTCTTTAAATATATTTTTTTATTTATAAATATATAAATTATAAATAAAATCAGAAAATAAAAGTTAAGTATCTTATGTTAAACTTTAAAAAGTATGTATAATCTTATCTTAAAAGGAGAAGAAATGAATTTAAAAAAATAATAAATAATTTTTTTTACATAATCATAAATAAATAAATATTTTATTTGAACGAAAGATAATTTATAAATAAAAATTATTGAATAAAGTAAAATAAAAAATTTAATATTATTTTAATAATATAATTTTTTATTTTTATTTAAAATTATTTTTTAGGACTTTTGTATTATACAAGGGAAATATTCCCTAAAAATCAACCAGAATAATATAAATATAGATAAAATATAAAAAAACTATATTAATACTTTTAATTAATAAAATATATTAAATCTGTAACAGTTTTTTTTATAAGATTTTTATTTTATCTTTTATAAGCTCTAATTTTAATAATTTAATAATCATTTGATGAAATATTTTTATATAATTTTTATTTTATCCTATCATTATTAATTATTTTTCTATTATTGTTTTTATATTATAAGTGTGGTGATTGGACATAAAATCACTTCATGTAACAAAATTTCTGTTATGATATTTAATATATAGATGAGAAATTATAAAATCATGATAATAAAAAATTACTTTAATTATAAAATAACATCAATTAAGATTTAATACTTAGATGATAAAATCAGTATTACTATAATTAGATATAATATAATATATATTATGAATTGAAAACATAAAAATATTGATAAAATTTAGATGAAAAAAAGATATATTATGATAATAACAAATTTTAAATTAATATAAATATAATTAAAATAGATAGTTAAAATATTACCTTGTTTATCAGCAGCTTTTATATTAAGATTTTGGTTGGATTGAGTCAAAATATCAACAGCTTACTCAGAGGCGTCTACCTATTCCTCTGATCTTATAAATATAAATTTGAAATTTTCCTGTTAAACAAATTTATTTAGAAAAGCTGTCAAGTGGAATTAGGATTTTCTCTTTGCAGAGTTACCTGCCATGGATTCAGGTTATCATCATTTTACCTTTTTAAACTGTTAACAACAAGCAATCATGTACTGTAACATGTTGTTCATTGTTATATTTTTCATCAGGGGATGAAGACTGGGGTTTGGATGAGATGGAACAAGAAGATATGGAAGAGCATGATAACAATCTCTATGACAAATTTGAAGACATTGTACATAGCTTGAGTGAAGAGACTGAACCCTCTTCTCAGTTAGCTTTGCTTATTGAATTCTGTGAAGTTTTGACATTTTTCACCGAGGATTCATTCTCCAACAGCACAGAATTGGTATCTCCACTGCTCGTAGAGCATGCAATGAATCAGAGTAACCCTGATGCAATGCTGTTTTCGATAAGGGCCATGACCTATATATGTGATTTGTATCTTCCATCAGCTGATCTTTTTGTTGAACATGATATTGTTCCTACATTATGTCAAAGATTATTTGCTATTGAGTATTTGGATGTTGCTGAACAGGTAATTGTTTGAGTCATAATTATATGTGTTATACTTTTTCTAGAAAGTAAGTAATTCAATATAACTTATTGATGTTGATATGAAGTGCATCAAATTATTGGAAAAAATATCGAGAAAGCACCCAATTGTTTGCTTAAAGGCTGGAGTAGTTATGGCTGTTCTCAAATATATTGACTTCTTCTCAACAAGCATACAGGTAAGACTCTAAATATAATAAGGTGTCATATTCATCTTCATGAGTAATGACCATTTTTCTTGTTATCCTTGAAACCTACTACTATATGAGAGAGAATTTTCTTATTGATTTTTGTATTGTATGACTTTTTGACCAGAGAGTGGCTATTTCTACTGTGATAAACATATGTAAGAGGCTTTATTCTGAAAGTCTTTCTCCTTTCATGGATGCTGTCCCTATATTATGTAATCTTCTTCGGTACGAGGATCGGCAGGTATCAGTGAATGAATTTAAGATGATTGTAATGCAGATTTGTATTTTTTATATCTTAATGTTTATTGATCTGCAACTCTACACAGCTTGTCGAGGATGTTGCTACCTGCTTGATGAAAATTGTGGATCGAGTTTATCATTCTTCAGAATGGCTGGATAAGCTTTGTAAACATGAATTGATTCAGCAGGTTACACATCTTTTAAGTTCAAATGGTCAGACAACAGTATCTCAATTAACTTACAATGTAAGCAATTTTTTATCTGTCATTCATATTTTAAATATTTCCCTTTTGTCTCATAACCTTTATAGTTGATGTAAATATATTATTTTGTTTGTCAGGGATTGGTAGGATTGCTTGTTAAACTTTCATCTGGATCACTTTTAGCCTTCAGTACTTTACATGAACTTAATATAAGCAACATACTGAGAGATATATTATCTACATTTGACCTCTCACATGAACTGTCAATGTCACAGCATATTAGTGGACACTGTGATTTGGTATGTAGCTTAGGTTTGATCCTATTGTCTTTACTATTATAATTTTTTATTTATAAATAAGCTGTGCGAAAGATGTATTATATCTATTATTTGCTGATTTACTAGGTAAAAGAAGTACTCAAACTGCTAAATGAGCTTCTCCCTGACCGGGCTAAAGATCAGACTGATCAGCTGTTACTTCACAAAGAATCCTTTCTAGTTAATCACCCAGATATCCTGCAAAGGTTTGCAATGGATTTGCTTCCCACCTTAATCAAGGTTGGCATATTTTCTTATTATTAACAAAATGATCTTTCTTTTCTTTACTAGTGTCTTAATATTTCATTAATCTTTTTACAGGTGTTCAATTGTGGGGCGAGTTTGTATGTTTGCCAGGGATGTTTAACTGTGATGTACAAGATAATCAGTTTCAGCAAATCTAGGATGCTTGTTGAGTTGCTCAAGAAGGCCAATATTTCTAGGTTAAATAAGCCGTCTTATTCTTAATGATGTCTTATTAAATACATTTTAATAAATATATTAATGTTCATTTTATCTGGTTAACATGACAGTTTTTTGGCTGGAGTATTCACTCAACAGGATCCCCACATGCTAATGTTAGCATTACAAATTGTTGAGATAATCCTTAAAAAATTTCCAAATAAATTCCTAAAGTTATTTTTTAAGGAAGGTGTCTTTTTTGCCATTGATATGCTGCTAAAGCCCGGAAGATCTTCAAAATTGATGTGTCCGGTGTATACTGGTACTCAGCAGACGTTGGATAGTCAAAGATCATCCTCAGGAGAGACCAAGTGTTTATGTTATGAGTTTTTAACTGGCCAAACTCCCACATCGTCAGAAGCCAGAAATTGCAAGATTGACAATGATTCTGTTTATACTCTTGCAAAGCGTATAAAAAGAAAATACTCAGCGCCAGAATATTCTCCTTCTGAGAAAGGATTGACTGATATTTTACCAAGTCTAAAAGCACTGTCTAAAGATTTGTTCAGCATATCAACTGATGCTTTTACTTTATGTGAAGAGAAGACCAATAGTATATTGTATCAAATTATGGACATACTTAATGGAAAGGAACAAATTTCTACTTTTGAGTTTATTAAAAGTGGAGTTGTGAAATCACTTGTTGATTATTTATCTCCGAGTCAGTATATGAGGGACAAAAGGAGAATACATGGTATTTGTAATGATAATGCCATCTTAGAAAAACGGTTTGAGATTTTGGCTAATGTATGCTTTTGTGCTACTCAGTCTCTCTCCAATGAAACATTCCTTTCTATATTAACCAGGCACTTACATAATGTACTGATTTCATTGGAAGCTTTTCCTGTTATTCTAACTGGTGGAGCAAAACTGAGAAGTTCATTTGCCATAGTTCCTCATACACGTCCTATTCCCTACCCTAATCTGAAAATACGATTTGTCAGGGAAGAGGGAGAGACTTTCCAGAATGACATCATTGAGGATTTTCTTACTGTTGACCCTCTTGCTTCCATACATTCTATTGAAGGATATCTTTGGCCAATGGTCAATTCAACGCATGCCGGATCATCAAGTACAATTGAAATGTCTGGAACATTGGGACACACTGTCATGATGACAGATCTCCCTGAATTACAGGTGATATTTCTAACTATGATTATTGATTTACAGTGTTATTTACTGCATATTTTTGTGTTATGCATATCAAACTAAGTTTTGCACACTACCTAGTTGCTCTTGGTATATAAGATTGACCTATTTTCTGAATTGTCATTTTACAGTTTTCAAAGATTATTTATTTCTTGATTACTTTATTATGATATTAATATTTCTATTAATTTATTGTTATTAATACTTCCATTTGTAGTATTCTCTAATGAAAACTTGCTACCTGTGTTGTCATTATTATATCCAATTTAGAAAATATCTTTTTACTAATTTTAGTAATATTTTTATGTTATTTTTTTACGTTATATTTTATCATTTTTAATCCTTTGTATAGGTTTATGCTGAAGAACATCAAATGAATGCACAAAGAAAAATAAAACTAGAAAAACAGGATCGTGTTCGAAGCAATGAAGCTACTCAAAAGCTTGTCTTTTATTTTGAAGGAGAACCTCTGGATCATAAAGCCACTCTCTATCAGGAAATTATTCGCCATAAAATAAAAGAAATTGACTCTTTTTCTACTCTAAAAATGTGGAATCTAGTGCATAAAATAACCTACAGAAGGGCTATAGAATCTGAGGACATAATACTTCCTGAATGTCATTCTTCATCTCAGGATTTATCTGATGATAAAGTTTTAGCTTATTATCAGAATACTCATTTTTTCTCAAGCACGCTCTCTTGTCAACTTGTTCATGATCTGGAGAAGTCAAGTCCAATTAATTATATTTTGTTTCTTTTCAAATGTCTGGAAAACATGAACCAAATTGTACTTCACCTTGTGTCCCGTGAAAGAATATGTGCTTTTGCCAAAGGGAAAGTTGATGACCTGGATAGCCTAAAAGCAACAGTTTCTTCTATCCCACAAAATGAGTTTGTAAGCACTAAGTTGACAGAGAAACTAGAGCAACAGTTGAGAGATTCTTTGGCTGTCTCCATTGGTGGTTTGCCATTATGGTGTAGTCAAATAATGACTTCATGTCCTTTCTTATTCAGTTTTCAGACAAGGTGCAAGTACTTCAAATTAAAAGCATTTGGTCAGTCACAAGTTCAGGCTCACGTGTCTCACAACAGTTCAGGGGCAGTGGTTGATAGGGGACTGGGTCCTGGTGGACTGCCTAGAAAGAAATTTTTAGTTCATCGTCAAAGGATTTTGGAATCTGCTGCACAAATGATGGAGCTGCATGCCAGTCACAAAGTCGTTCTTGAAGTGGAATATGATGAAGAGGTGGGAACTGGTCCTGGACCAACTTTGGAATTTTATACCTTGGTGTGCCACGAGTTCCAGAAATCTGGTTTGGGCATGTGGAGAGAAGACACTAACATGCATGCTGAGGAACTGAGAATCAGTTCTTTTTATGGACTCTTTCCTCGGCCATGGTCATCAATGCAAGATACATCTGGTGGCATACAGTTCTCTGAAATTATAAATAAATTTTTCCTTCTAGGCCAAGTTGTCGCTAAAGCATTTACTGATGGAAGGATCTTAGATTTCCACTTCTCTAAAGCTTTTTATAAACTTATTCTTGGAAAGGTAATCAATTCTTGGTGCAACCAATCAAATTGATATAAGCTTATAACCCTGTGTAAAATTTATAAGGTTGGTCATCTTAACTGACCGAATCTCTATGTTTGTTATCATGACTGTCTAGGAACTCTCCCTATTCGACATACAATTATTTGATCCTGAGCTTTATAAGGTGCTGCAAGAGTTTCAGGCTCTAGCTATGAGGAAAAATTTTATGGAATCCACCAGTGGAGGGAATTCTGATATTGTGAGCTTTCGGGATGCGAGAATTGAAGATCTTTTTCTTGATTTCACTCTTCCTGGGTATCCCGATATTATTCTTGCTTCAGGGACTGATTATTCAATGGTAAGTCATTGCCCATATTTTTGTCATTTAATTTGCCCTTTAATCATTCTTTCAGTGGCAGAATATAAACCTTACATGCATTCTTTTTTTTAGGTAAATATGGGAAATCTAGAGGATTATGTTTCACTTGTTGTGGAAGCAACTGTGAGGTCTGGAATTTCAAGACAAGTGGAAGCTTTTGAATCTGGATTTAACCAGGTCTCTCACTTTGTTTTAATTATTTTACTTTAGTTTGATCAAAAGATTAATCTTTTTTCAGATGCCTATTAATGTTATTTAGAAAGTGGATAAACACAAAGATCTTAAATTCAAGATCCTTTAGGGCATGTTTATAATTTCAAGATCAATTACTGTATTTACAATACTGGTCATTAATTTCTACCATGTCTTCACTGTGATTCTCATTTGTTTTTTAACTTATTTTCTACATATTAGGTTTTACCCATCGACCATATTAGGATTTTCAATGAAGAAGAGCTTGAGCGCATGTTCTGTGGAGAGTCTGATTCCTGGGCTGTAAGTACAATTTTTTTTCATTTCAACTGTTTTAAATATGTCATTTTCTTCTCGAGAAGAGAAGAAAAACAATTAAAATTAATAACGCTTGTTAAAACAGATCAACGACCTTCAAGATTTCTTGAAGTTTGATCATGGGTACAGTGCTACCAGTCCTCCCATTGTCAATGTAAGCAATCACATACATTTAGATGCTTTTGGTCTCACTCACACTAAAACATTTTATTTTCTTAACCTCAATCTCATAATTTTATCATCCATCTATGGCTCTGGACTCAGTTATTGGAGATTCTCCGAGAGTTTGATCAAGAACAGCAACGATCATTTCTACAGTTCGTGACTGGAGCACCACGACTTCCACCAGGAGGGTTGGCATCACTCAATCCAAAGTTAACTGTTGTCCGAAAGGTTTATAGATTACACACTCCATATTTTCAGTGTAGCCTTTGATACTTAGCAACAACATTTTTTGTGTTATCTACTGATTCTACTCGTATGTTTAAACAGCATTGCAGCAACCAGGAAGACACAGATCTAGACCTACCTAGTGTCATGACTTGTGTTAATTATCTCAAGCTACCTCCGTATTCAACAAAAGTAACATTCTAGTTTATACTATTTCAATCTTGTATCAGTAAAAGCACTTGTAAAGTTTTAGAAACTGGTTTTTGCTTTAGCCTAATTATTCTTTGGCATGCATTGAATTTCAGGAAAAAATGAAAGAGAAGCTGTTATATGCCATAACAGAGGGTCAAGGAGCTTTCCACCTTTCGTGATTCCACTCTCTTCACTGCTTGGTATTATTGGAGTTATGAACATGTAATTATTAGGGTAATTGGTAGTAATGTAGACTAGGGTGCTAGTGAGTTGCTGAGAGAAGTCTGAAGGATTTTATGGAAATGAATAAACTGCTTTCATCGACTACAATTCTTGGGGGTTTTACTTGATTGACTAGCATCAAATGTACAGAAATGGAGGGCACTTTCAAGGGTCATTTGCTTTATATCTGGTGTACAGTATTTTTATGGGGGAACAATAATCACTTTTTTTTAGTTGCTTGCATACAAAATGACTTCAGGTCCTGCTATGGCTTTTGTTACTGTGTTATATCAAATGGTTATTATGTTTGATTTTCCTTTATTGTTTTTGACATCCATTTACAGTTTTGCTTTTGCACTATTTCATGAAGCAAAAAACATGAGATAACTTGAACGCAGATTAAGCCACTTGATATATTTAATTAAGCAAATTAGGTTATAATTTTGGAGAAATAGTTTTTTTATTTAACAAATCATAGTTGTATTTTCAAAATTGGTAAAGTTTTACGTTTTAAAATTCTCCCGTCACGCGGGTTGAATATGGACTTAGTAAAAGTAAATTGATTTAAAATGCGAGTTTCAGGGGATAATTGTTGTATAAAAACAGAAACTAAACCTTAAAATATTTATAAGATCAATAATATTATTTAAAAATTTAATTATTATTACTAATTATTTTTTATTTCAATCCAAAATCTTAAGAAAAACAATGTAATATAAAAATATACGAGAATTGTCCAAAGGAAAAATTTTATACCAAATTACCTAAGTTTTTAAACGAAAATTATAGTTTTATTATTTTATGTTTTATACTCGTTCAATTTGACCTCATGTCTTTTAAAAACAATTTATTTTTTATATTTAAAAATAATATAAAATAATTTTCAATCAATTGAAAACTACTTAAGTTGATAATTTAAATATTTTAACAATTTACTACTGTAACAAATTATCAACTTCTTCAAAAATAATTATTATATGAAAAAAAACCTGTTAATTATCAATAATGTGGTATTTTCTTTAATTTTTAATTATTATTTTTATTTATAAAACTTAAATCATAGATTTTATTAAAAAAAAAAACAAGTAGAACGGTTTATTCTACTTGAAGCAACAGAATATTTATCTTTATTTTATTATTATTACTCTCTTTCCTTTCGGATCCACATATGTGAAGGGAACACCAAAAACGTAGTTGAAGGAAGTCCATTTATCATTTCTTCATTTTATTATTATTACTCTCTTTCCTTATCCTCAAAATTCTCAAATGGAGGACTTGCAGTCATGAACGCTGTTCTCTTACAATCACCACTCTCACCCTTCCAACGCGCAGCCACCAACACCAACGCCGAACCGCGCGACCAGAAGCTTCTCTCCCTCTTGCGCGACCGAAAAACCGAAGAAGCCTGGCACGCCTACACCCACTCCACTCAACTCCCCAACCCCACCTGTCTCAGTCGCTTGATCTCTCAGCTCTCTTACCAGAACACTCCCTCCTCACTCACGCGCGCCCAGTCCATCGTCACGCGCCTCCGCCGTGAACGCCAGCTCCATCGCCTCGATGCTAATTGCCTCGGCCTCCTCGCCGTCGCCGCCACAAAGGCCGGCCACACACTTTACGCGGCCTCCGTCCTCCGCTCCATGCTCCGCTCCGGCTATCTCCCCCACGTCAAGGCCTGGACTGCAGTCGTCGCCCGCCTCGCCTCCGCCCCCGATGACGGCCCCGCCGAGGCCGTCAAACTCTTCCGCTCCGTCACGCGACGCCTCAAGAAGCTCCCCGACAAAGACATGGCCGCCTCGTCGCGCCCCGACACGACGGCGATCAATGCCGTGCTCAACGCGTGCGCGAACCTCGGCGATGCAAAGGCGTTCTTGCAGGTGTTTGATGAAATGCCGCAGTTCGATGTTGTGCCTGATGCGCTGAGTTATAATACTATGATGAAGCTGTGTTGTAAGATTGGTAGAAAGGACTTGCTTTTGTTTGTTTTGGAGAGGGTTCTTCAGTTGGGGATTCCTTTTTGTGTGACCACTTTGCAGTCCCTTGTTTCTGCTTATGTTGAGTTTGGTGATTTGGATACTGCTGAGAAGTTGGTTCAGGCAATGAGGGAACAAAGGAGGGATATTTGTAGGGTGCTTAGGGAGTGTAGTAATTTAGAGGATTTGAGTGGAAATGAAAGTGATTGTGATAGTAACAATGATAATGACGAGGACTGTGTTTTTGAGAAATTGCTTCCTAATCTGGTGGATCAGAGTGGCAATGAGGCTGAGCTACCCTTGTTGCCTAAAGGGTATGCTCCAAACACTAGGACTTACACCACTCTGATGAAGGGTTATATGAATGCAGGGCGTGTGAGTGACACGGTTAGGATGCTTGAGGCTATGCGGCGTCAGGATGATAAGGGTAGCCACCCTGACCATGTTTCATACACCACTGTGGTTTCAGCTCTTGTGAAGGTGGGTTCCATGGACCGTGCTCGTCAGGTTCTTGCTGAGATGACAAGGATAGGTGTGCCGGCGAACTTGATAACTTACAATATTCTCCTCAAGGGTTATTGCAAACAGCTGCAGATACATGAGGCAAAGGAATTGCTTAAGGAGATGGTTGATGATGCAGGGATTCAGCCTGATGTGGTGTCGTATAATATACTCATCGATGGGTGTATATTGGTAGATGACAGTGCTGGGGCTCTTTCCTTCTTTAACGAGATGAGGGAAAGAGGAATAGCTCCCACCAAGATTAGTTACACTACTTTGATGAAGGCTTTTGCATACTCGGGTCAGCCCAAGCTTGCTCACAAGGTTTTTAATGAGATGGACAATGACCCTCGGGTGAAGGTGGATTTTATCGCATGGAACATGTTGGTGGAAGGGTATTGCAGGATGGGGTTGGTGGAAGAGGCAAAGAAAGTGGTTCAGAGGATGAAGGAGAGTGGACTTCACCCTGATGCGGCCACTTATGGAAGTTTAGCCAATGGAATTGCGTTGGCAAGGAAACCCGGAGAGGCCCTTCTGCTTTGGAATGAAGTGAAGGAGAGGTGTGACATGAGAAAGGAAGGGGGTAAATCTGATTCTTCTGTTCCTCCATTGAAGCCAGAAGGAGGGCTTTTGGATACTCTGGCTGATATTTGTGTGAGGGCTGCTTTCTTTAGGAAGGCCTTGGAAATCGTGGCTTGCATGGAGGAGAATGGGATAGCTCCCAACAAGACCAAGTTTACTAGAATCTATGTGGAAATGCATTCAAGAATGTTTACTAGTAAGCATGCTTCAAGGGCTAGACAAGACCGAAGAAGCGAGAGGAAAAGGGCTGCTGAGGCGTTTAAGTTTTGGCTGGGTTTGCCTAATTCCTATTATGATGGAAGTGAGTGGCGATTAGAACCTATGGAGGGGTATGGCACTACGGCTGACTCTGCTTAGTCACTCCCCCTTTCATACTGGTCAAAACATGAGGGGACAAGTCTGCCACAGTAAAGTGTAGAATCAATGTAAGTAAAAAAAGATGACTATTGTATTCTACAGTGTAATTTTCATCGTTAAAGCAGGGTTTTCTAGATATGAAATCAATGAAGAATATTTATTTTTAAAATTTTAAAAAGTTAATATAATGATATGATATTTCAATTTTAATATATTGTTGGTTAACATCCAAAAAGATTGTTTTTTAATATTTTTATTAAAAAATTTTGCAAATTTAATATTTTATAGTTCTAGGTCACAGTCATTAGTCAAGCCCATAAAAGTTTATGAATTGTGCAGTAAACTAGATATGTGGAGTGCAGATGCAGATCCTTTTTGTCAAGAAGCTGTCTTTATTGAACTCTTGTAAGTGGTTATTGATTTTGCAAATAATCAGGGATTGTTTCTGAATTAGATTTTTTTTCTTGATTAAAAACTATTTTATAGAAGAGGCAAAGTTGACACGATCTAGTAGTCAACATGTATTGTTGTAGAAATCATGCATAAGATTCTTGCATGTTATTTGTTTCCATCTCAGTTTTTAATGGTAAAGTTCTTGGTTCTTGGTATTTCCTCAATCTTGGTAAGGTCCCAAATGTGGTGGCAGCATTGATAACGGATCTGGAGATTAAGTAAGAGCGACTGAAGTTATAGACACAATTAACCTAAAAGGTTAGAGAATTTCAATTGATATTGATACATAGTCAACCGTTAATTGAAGCTGTGTTTTAATATTAGCATATTTAATGGATAAATTCTCAACATGAATATATTTAACTAGGAAAACAGTACCTATTGTACTACCTATACTAGAGTATATAAAATTTGTATTTTGTAGTAATCTAGAAAAGCGCGCACAACTTGTTTGTTAAAATTTAGGTGCCACTACCTTTCCTCCAAGGCCTCACACATTTTCATGTCTAGGAAAATGAAGTATGGGAAACATGCAAACTCAGTCAAAACATGTTCAGTGCTTTTATCGAAGCTGTTAATACTAATAAGCATTTTGAAAATAAACCAATGAAATGTGCAATTTTTTTTTAATTCAATATTGTAAGTATATTTCATTATTATAAATTATTAAAATCTGTTTAGTGTCGTTATTTGAAACCATTTTTCTAATTGGTTATTAGAGTGTTCTGATCACACAAAATAACTATCATTGACTTTTTGTTATACAGATTCTTTAGATTGTGTACAAATATTAATAAGTAAAAATTATTATTAAAATACCAAATATTTATTGCATAAATATAATAGTCTTGCCAATTAATTACTAAAAAACATCCATTAAGTGTTTTAAGATTGTTGTTTCACATCTACTAAACATTTGCTCTCACTTTTTACTACACAAAAATAAGAAAATATTATATTAATGATGGATTGAGAAAAATGTTCTTCTACTCAACTATTCCTTAGCTTCCAGCATATCCTAAAAAATTAAAAAATATAAATTAAGAGTTTATTTAAAATTTTGATTAAAGAAAATTCCGTTTTAGCTAAAATAATTGCAAGATTTTGATAATATGTATGATAAGGATATTAATTAAGCAATTGGTAAATAAAAATAATACCTTTAATATAAAAAAATATTTAATTTTCACAATTTTCCTTATTTAAAATATGAATGATAGAAAATAATACTTTAGAATAATTAATAATATACATGACTTTAATAATGTTATAGGGTTTAATTTTACATTGGAAACAAAATTATAATAACTTGTCCAGCATTTATCAAAAGATAATATCTAATTTTGTATTACATTTCAATTTATTCTAATTAAATTTTGTTCTTCATTAATTCTTTTGACATTTTCTAATTTTTAAAATTTTAGTAGTTTTGTATCCTTTATGATATTAAATTTCGCTTATTCTTAATTATAATGATAGAAAAGGTTTCAAAAGAATAAAATATGGTGCGCAATATTTTTTTGATCCGAACTTTTTTTTTAGCTAAAAATATTTACATAAATATTTATTACAATTGATTTAAAGATCTAAATTACTAATAGCGTGGCATTTTACTCAATATCAATATTTTTAACATAATCTTAATCCTTTTAAATATTTAATGTTTTTCTCGAGATCAATGTTATACTTTGGGATTTTATTTTATTTTTTGTCATTATTATTACGTGTCTATTTTGAAAAAATAGTTAAGGATTATTTAGTTTAATTATTTTAATTTTTATTTTAACTTAAAATAAAGAGTATCGTTATGAATATTAGTACTTGCTTTAAAAGAACAATAAGAAATTTGGAAGATTGAGTAAACAGAAAAACATAAGACAATTTTTTATTCTCTATTTAAATTTATATAAAAAATAGGAAAACAAACCAATAAAATTTCATTAACTATTTTCATATAAATTTTTAGACAGAAGGTCGGTAAAAAGGGAAATGATTAGATGAAACAAATTCCGTGAATAAAAGTAATGTAAATTACAAAAAAAAAAAAACGCGTGACTACTATCAAGAAGATCAAGTGTTAAAACTGCGTTTTGAACGGTACATTAGAAAAGAAGAGCATTCTTCACATTCGGAAATTTTCTCTCGCTACAAATCCCTCAATCCCATTCACTTTTTACCTCCAACCTCCAATCCACCTTTTTCCGTTCAATTACTACATTCTCCCTGCATTACCTTTCTGCACGGAAAGAAAAGGTTTGAACTATATTGTTTTTTTATTCAGGTTCATATTGTTCTGAGTTTACAATGTGAGTGTCAATGCATGTGTTGTTTTATGTTTTAGGTTAAAATAATGACTGAAAATACCGGTCAAATTGATTTAAACGCTGATGCTGTCTTGTTTGATCGGGAAAATGATGTTGTGGGGATAAAACCGTCAAAGTCCAACGCTGATAGTAGTGTTGGTGTCTCTTGTTCTGGAAACCTGAGTGATGATCCTGGTGCGGTTGTTGTTCCTGATCAGGAGCCTTTTCAGGTTGGAGATGATGATTCGGTGTTGTACGGTTTGAACCATGGGTGTGATGTGATTATTAGTGGCAATGGAGAAGAGGGTTTTGGTGAGGAACTTGGGTTGGTGGATGTAGGGGTTGTTGGTAAAGACTGTGACGGAAAAGAAAGGGACGTTGTGTGTGGAATGGAGAAGCACGAAGATGAGAAGAGTGGGATTGGATTTTCAGATGGAGTTATGCTTGATTATGGAGGTCCAGAGCCTGAGCCTAATGAAGGTTTGATTATTGAATTTAATGATGATTTTCGGGGTGAGAATGCTATAGGTGTTATTGAAAATGGTTTGCTGAGCACTGAGGTTGCAGTGAATAATGTGGCTCAAGGAGGTGATAATGGTGCATCTGGCAAAAATGAAGATGCTATGGATGTTTCTGAAAATGCCATGAATTTTTCTGTAAATGATCGCCTAGGCATGGAGGTTGTGGCGAATAATGTGGCTCAAGGATGTGATAATGATGCGGCTGAGAAGATTGAGAATGCTGCATTGGTGAATTTAAGCGCACTTGTGGAGGGTGACAATGAGAGGAATCTTGTTGATAGTTTGGTTGATAAAGATGGCCTCAAAAGTACTGCAGAAATTGCAACCTACCAATTACAAAATGTCATCCCATGTATAGAAGCTGTGAATGTCAATGCCGAAGAATCTTTGCATGTGAAAGATTTGTTAAGGAATTGCCTTGAGCCAGCTCTTCAGGTAGATGCACCAGTAAAAGTCATGCACAATCAAAACATGGTCGCTGATGTTGTTGAAAAACGGGTGTTCGAGAATAATCAAAACATGGTCGCTGATGTTGTTGGTGGCAATCTTGTTGTAGATCTTAATTCTTGCACAAACATGCAGGAGGTTGGCATGAATCAGGGATCGGTGTTTTCAGAATGGAATTTGTGTCTATCGGATTTAGTATGGGGAAAGGTCACTGGTCATCCTTGGTGGCCAGGTCAGATATTTGATGCCTCCGCTGCATCCGATAAGGCAAAGAGGCATCTCAAGAAAGATTGTTACCTGGTAGCATATTTTGGGGATCAAACATTTGCTTGGACTGATGTGTCAATGATTAAACCATTTCTAGCACATTTTTCACAAATGGAGAAGCAGAGCAATCTGAAAAATTTCCACCATGCTGTTAATTGTGCTTTAGATGAGGTCTCAAGACTGGTTGAGTTTGACCTGTCCTGCCCTTGCATACCTGATGATGTATATTTCAAGCTTAAGACTCAAATAATTAGTAATGCTGGAATCAATAATCAATTGAGCAGAAGAAATGGAGTGGAGAAATCTATCAATTCAATGTCTTTTGAACCCATGAAACTTGTCAATTATGTTAAGTCATTAGCCCAGTCGCCACTTCGAGCATCTGATAGACTGGATTCTGTAATTGCACAAGCCCAGTTGTCGTCTTTTTATCGCTCAAAGGGTTATTTTCAACTGGCTGAGTTCAAAGTGCTTGGAGGGTTATTCGAGAATGATATGCAAACTCTAACTGAGAGGGAGATAGAGCAATTTGATTATCAAACCTGTGTTGGTCATTCACTACAGGAGTACAAGAGCAACTCTGGGTATAAGAAGCGCCATGGTAAGAAACATAAACTTATGTCAGATTTGATGTCTGAGAGGAGATTATTTATTTCAAATGATGAACATGCACCTGAACATGAAGCTAAGCCAGTTCCACGGCGTCGTGGCAGAAAAAGGAAGACAGCTAGCAAAACTTCGGAAAATTGTTTCCCTAATTCCCAGAATGAAAAGATCTACCAAATACAGCATGCATCTATAAGTGAGATGAAGTCTCAACTTTGTTTGGCTGCCAGGAATCCAACTGGAGAAAGTTTCTCAAGTGACATGGTACAATTTTTCGCAGAATTTAGAAATTCCATTAGTCTACTTTCTGCTTCCCTGGATAAAAAAATGTTTTTGCAACAAATGCACGATGTAGAGACTGAAGCAACCTCTATGGTAGGATTGCCTTCTATGACATCTACAATGGAGCCGTGCATTGATTCTTATTGGACCGATAGAATAATTCAAAGCATTCCTGGAAAACAATCAACAACAAAATATCAGAATGAAAGAGTCATATTTTTGCCTGAGACCCTAACTGACGCAAGTCCTGTCTCTTTCAAGTTGCTACCATCTGCTGAAATTACCACAACTTTGGGATTTAACCAGCAAGATACCAATGAAATTCTTGAATCAGAATCTTCTAAACCTAAGCCTGCAGCAGAACATTTGGACGAGAGTTCTACACAGGGCTTCTGTCCTACTGCTCTGACTCTGAAATTTTCAAACTTTGATTCTGTTCCTTCAACAACAGATCTGAACAAGATTTTTGGCCGCTTTGGGCCACTGATTCAATCAAAGACTGAACTGCTAGAGAGAACTAACCGTGCCAGAGTGGTTTTTCTAAGACGTTCTGATGCAGAAACTGCTTTCAGTAGTGCTGGAAAATATAGCATATTTGGACCTTCACTCGTTAGCTACCGCCTCAAGATTTTGCCTCGGAAGCCACAAAAAGTTACAGGAAAGCGAGGCAGAAAAAAAAGAAGAGTAACAAATTCTGTGGATGGTGCAGCAGTTTGATGCCTTAGTAACATCAATTTAGGTTAGTGTTTTTATGTGAATATCTATATTCCTAGTATAGGTTGATGACCTGAACCATGCTAATATGTAGAATTAGGCTACTAGCTATTTAGAAATATTTGAAAATAAGATCATTTACATTTTAATCATTAAGGTGCGTATACTTTGGAACTGATATAAGTTTATGATTTTGAAAAAAAAAAAAATATATATATATATATATATATATATATATAGTAGACAAACGTTTGATTTCTTAAAAGTTTATGATATAATTATTAACATTTGATATTTTTTTAAAATTAAGTAATAATTTTTCAAAATATAATTTCAATCAAACTTGCACGTAATTATTCTTAATCACGTTAATATAGTATCTTGTCATATATATTACATGTTTTTAACATTCAGAAACAGAGGGTTAAGATTTGTAAAAGAAAGAAAGAGGAAGATTAAAATAACTATTCTTTTTTCAGTGATTAGAGTTTTCGTACAAGTAATCTAATACAACCAACTCATACGATAAGAATTTTATTTTTATTTTTTTTTCTCCAACTTCTGAATGTCTTGTCAGTTATTAATACATTTATATTCTCATGAGGTTATGTCTATTAAGAAGATAGATACAATTGTATTTTACTGTAATCATTTTTTATGTATTATCTGTTATAATAAAATATATCTTGATAATTTAAATATTTAGATAGATTTAAAAACAAAATAAAAAATAATAATAATAATAATAATAGTACTCTTTCTTTCTCTCAACATAGTTGCCATCAATTTTATAAAGTCTTCCCATCTTGACATAAATAAATTCTTTATATCAAACTAGTTTTATTACTGTACAACATACAAAACTCATAAGTTTATTGAAAAAAATTAAATAAATAATCATAATTAATATGCATTCATTGATGTAAATATTATATATTTAATAAGTTTTTTAAAAGAATTCATTTAAAAATAGTTAGAAAAATAAAAGAATTTTTTAAAATATTCATTTAAAAATAATTAAAACTTATTTTATAATAATAAAAGATTATTTTTTATATATTTAATGAATAATTGTATAAACATATTATTATATATATCATTTTTATATTAAAGTGTAAAATTAATAAAACAATAATAATTTACCTATTAATTATTAAAATTTTAAAGTTTAGGTAAAAAGTTTAACAATTTTTTTAATTAAATCTTAATTTCTTATATTTAATTAAATTAAAACTTATTACTCAATAAAAATTTTGGATATACAAATATTATAACAATAATTGAAAACTTTAAAAATCACAACAAAGTAAAAGTTTTTTTAAATAATTTATTCTAAAAAAACATGTAATTCTTTTATGTTGTTAATTGAGTCTAAATCTTTATTTATTGAGAAAAATTATTCATTAAATTATTTTAAACATTAATTTTATATAAAAAATTAATATTTATTATGTAGTTAAAAACACTAATCAGATAAAAAAAATTATTTTTTATTAAAAAGATAAAAAATTTACCCTCGTAAACTAAAAAAATAATTTACTTTCATATAATAAACAATTGAGCACAATGTTTTGTTAATTTTAGACATAAATTTTAATAAAATATATTTGTTACGTATATCTTTTTTTCTTTCATAAATCCGTCAACTAATATTTTGTTTATTCATATATATATATATATATATATATATATATATATATAATGTAATTAAACGTATAACAAATAATTAAAATAAACGTAATTTTTTTGCAAGAAAAAATTAAATTCCGTCTACTATCTTGTTATCTTACTTAGGTTATTTGTTGTCATCCACTTTTGTCCAAAACAATAATCTTTCTTTGATACATGCAGAAGTCATCAACCAGTAAGTATCAGGTACAAATAAAAATCAATTTAAATTTAAAGTTAAAAAAAATTAAATTGATTAAACATATATAAAAAATTAATAAAATAATGAATAATTTCTTTTTAAATATACTCTAACAACAATATTGACATTGTTAAGACAAACACTCCTCCCCGTTTGAATAAATTAATATATAATAAATCATAAGAATAATTTATTAAAAACAATCTTGACTTTACCAAATTATATAATAACTGCAATATTTTGAAATCACAATATAATTTCATTTAATTTGTCAAATAAAAATTTAGTCTGTTTGATTATTAAACTAAATATGATAAAATAAAAATAAGATTTTATTAAATTTGCTTAAAGGATGTTAATCAACTTAAATTTTAATAATAACACAGGTAACATTTTCTCTTTAAACAACATCGTATCAACCATAATATCATATAATAATTATAATAGTTATATTATGTTTTTATTCTGTAAAACATGGGAAGTAGTTATCATAAAAAAAAATTATTTACTGTCGAATTATACTATATGATTATGATAGGATTTTAACATATCACAAAATAGGAAAAACATTTAATTCATCAATATATTATTAAAAAAACATATATTCTACTATAAAACTAATAATTTAGAAATTATTCATACGGTTAGACGAGAGTAGTATACCATGAGTGTCTATATTAATTTTTTTTTTCTTTTTTTTCAACTCTAAATAACAACACTGGTTAGTATTCTCATTACACCTTACACCTGTTTCTGAAATAATATTTCAATATTAATTTTATTATCAATTAACATTAACATGAATAACATTATATAATAATAAACAGTAATTAAGACCTAATTATGTACACATATCAATTAAGTAATTTGTGTCAAATCCATAAAATTATCATTAAGACTACCTTGATTTCAAATTAAAAGTTAATTTTGCTTTTGGTAACCAAAATTTTGAATTAAGTGAACAATACCCTCACAAATTTTTTTTTAAATTTATAAATCATAAACCACAAAATAACATAGAAGTAAAACAACAAGCTCACCTATTGAATAACCACAAAATAAAAGGGAAAAATGTTCACTATATATCCAATTTTCAAATTTGAATCTATTATCATTTGAAAAACATTTTCAGAAATTGAATAAAATTACCATCTTCATTTTCATGCATGCTCAAAGCTATAAAACTGCATAAATTTCACTATTTTAAATGAATCTATAAAGTATGCAAAAGTCGATCGTAAACTCTACAAAAAATACCAAATTATGTATGATTTAGATCCACCACACAATACAATACCAAATAAATTATTTTAGTCCTTATAGAAGAACTGATTTTTCCTTTCTATGTGTATGTGTATTAGGATAAGATTTATCTATTTTTATATTGTTAATAGGATAACAAATAGTTTGTTAGTTAGTTTTACTGATAAGATTAATTTATTAGAATTTATTTTATTTGGTTGTAATTTTGTTACAGTCATTATATATAATGACTGTTTTCACAAACACAAGATTCACATCAATTTTTATTATGGTATCAAAAACTTGAGGATCCTAAATTTTTGTTTTCATGTCTTCTATAACACAATCACTTAAAATTACAGATCTCAAATTACTATTTTTTCTTTATCCATCTCATCATCTAGTGTCATTCTTACCACCGTTCTATTACGTGTATAGACAAATTATGAAAATTTGACAAAACTGATGCATAAGATAATTTGCTGATAAAAAATCGCAATTAACCTTTCAAATCCTAAAAAAAAAGAAAAATCTATAAAATAATATTATTTAAATAACGAATCTGACTTTTTAACAAAGTACATATATTTAAATCGGTGTCAGACTAAACAAGAGAATAACACTAAAAAGTGGAAGAACAAACAAATCAGAGTAAAAAAAGAAAAAAGATAACGTGTAATAAAAGTTAGAGTGAGAAAAAAAAATGTGAAAAAAGAGAGTAAGGAGAGTTAGATGAAATAGAAGAGAAAAGAAGAAAAGTAGAGCATAAGATCAGGTAATTGACAAAGGGGATAGAATTACATTTTTATTTTACTTTTTGTAATTTTTTTATTAGTTTGACACGTGTCTAGTTTCTTTTAAGTAGCAAAATTCATAAAAATATAATAAAATATTAATTGTATAAAATAATATTTTATTAAAAAAAAGTTATGTGACTAGTTTAATTTTTTTTTATAACATCAAACCAGTTACAAAAATAATAAATTAGAATAAATAATGAGAGAAAAAAAAATTTAAACATTTATTAAAAAATTGTTGCTTTGCATAAAAATAATAATGTGAATATATTTTACATTTTTCTTTTGAAAACAATTCATTTGAATTAGATTTAGGCATCGCAATGGGTGGGGGCACGTTTTGTCTCCCGATCCCCGCCACGACTTTTTTAACCATCCTCATCTTTGCCATCGATTTCCGTCTGGGTTAGAAATTAAGTTTTCATACCCGTCTCCATTTCGAGTTCCTCGCCTCGTTCCCGATCTATATTATTTTTAAAAAGATAATTACATTTATAATAAATTAATTTTACTATGTATTTTTTATATATAAATAAATATTTATAATTATTATTAATTAAATAAATATATTTTTTTAATTTATTATATTTATATTAAAATATGTATGCAAAAGAAATATTTAATCATTTTTTATTTATATATGTTGAAAGTTCCACATCGCCTACCTCATGTCATTTGGTATGGTTTAAATACATGTTAGGTTACTCCACATATTGTCAAGTTTTATGTTGGAACCTTAACATGGTATCGGAGTCAAAGCCTAATATCTTTCCAGGTTATTGTCATGGGCCAAAAAAGTTGTCCTTTAGTTGGGTCAAAAGTACCATTTGCCCTGGTCTGCAGACTTCGTTGGAGGGTGTGTTGAAAGTCCCACATCGCCTACCTCATGTCATTTGGTATGGTTTAAATACATGTTAGACTACTTCACATATTGCCAATTGGTTTTATGTTGGAACCTTAACAATATATATAGAATATTTATAACAATATTAATATTATTATAACATTATATTCAAATATACATTATTATTATTATAATATTGTATTCAAATATTTGATTACATATATAAGTTAATTAATTTTTAAGTTATCATTTAAAAATATAAATATATAATTTATCGTCTACCTCATGTCATTTTGTATGGTTTAAATACATGTTAGATTACTCCACGTATTGTCAATTGGTTTTATGTTGGAATCTTAACAATATATATAGAATATTTATAACAATATTAATATTATTATAACACTATATTCAAATATTTGAATACTTATAACATTATTATTATTATTATTATTATATTGTATTCAAATATTTGATTACATATATAAGTTAATTAATTTTTAAGTTATCATTTAAAAATATATAATTTATAAAGAAATATTTAATAAATTAATTCTTATTTAATTAGTTAGAAGTAATAAAAGTTTAAATCATCAATTTCTTTTAATATTTTAAAATACAATTATTTTATTAAGATAAAATTTGATATATGATAAATAAGAATAATAAAATAAAAAATTATGATATAATAAAACTTAATAAATATAAATTATAAATAAAATAATATTAATTATTAGTAAGATTTATATAAAATATTTAGAAAAAAGATAAAGAAAAAAATTCACTTCATCGTATTGATTGAAAAGATTAAAAAAAAGGTAGAAGAAAGATAAAAATACTAAAATATAAAAAAATAACCTTATATCAATAGAAACAGACAAAAAAATTCTTTTAAGATATTAATATTTTAAAATTTAAATTTAAATATAAAATCTTAAAAGAAACAAAATTTCAAACCATTCTCTTTCTTCTATTAACTCAAGTTTTTCCCATCTCATTCAACATAGATACAGGTTCATCTCTACCTGATTAGATTCTCAATTAGATTCCACTGTTAAATTTCGATATCCTTACGGAGAGGTGCAAGTGTTACCTCCAATTCTTCATTTTATTGATAGCAAGTTTCATATAATAAAATTCAATAAACTTAAAATACAAAACATCTACTTCAATTAATATTTGGTTGTGATAAAAATATCAAATAATTAAATATTTACAAAATTTACTGAATCATCGTGCGGAGTGTTTGGGTGTCTGACAACACTATGTTAAGCACCTATAGAATTGATAAGCTAGTATCGGATGTTTCGAAATAAGACCTCTTTACAAATCCCTCTTCAATATTAATCAAAAATTTATTAAAAATCAAACAAGAAAAATCACATTTGTGTATACTATTATGAACTTTTCAACCAATGAAAATGCCTTAACAAATAAGACAATCTCCAGTTCCACAACATCCAGTTGCCTTTGGTTTCATAGAGAGAAAGATCGATTAACGTTAGAAATTGAAAAACTCTAAACTTAATAAGCCGATTGACAGGAATCCATATAATGGACCAAAACAATAACAACACGTCAGGAGAATAGGGAAGAAGCATAGGGCAATCTAATGTTTAACTAAAAACGCTAAAGGCTCGAGTTTAGTAAATGAACTAGTAATGATATAAAATTGTTCACAAAACCCATTCACCGCAAAACAAAATTCATAGTACTTAAGCGAATCTATTGTAGACAAACTGAGGAAGCATTCCACAAAATTAAGACCGTGGCTTCTCCTTCTTCTCCTTGAAAAGAGCCAAAAGAGAAACACCAGAGACCTTCACAACCTTAAACCTGACTCCAGGAATATCACCCACGGCGTGACCCTTTCGACCAAATCCAGCAATCAAAACTTCGTCCTACAACCATGAGCCACACCCCAAGTTACAAATGGATAAACAACGAGTTATCAAAGAAACTCAAAATAACTCCAGGACAGTAAAAGAGTAACGGCAAGCACTCACATTCTCTTCAATGTAGTTCAAGCAACCATCATTTGGGACAAAAGCAGCAATCTTCTTCCCATTTTTAATTAATTGAACCCTGGCACACTTTCGAATGGCAGAGTTGGGCTGCTTAGCCTCAATACCTCTGCATATAACAAAAACATTTTCAATTTTCAATATTACATGCTCTTAACTAAACCAAAATATGCAATCAAGCTAACATAATCTTACATCTTTTCAAGAACAATTCCCTTTGCATGGGAAGAACCAGCAAAAGGTTTCTTCCATTCATTCCCAAGATGGGATTTCTTGTATGCCTTGTCGGCCCACCTTTGCCTCCTGCGGTGGGACTTGAGCTTGCGAGCAGCTCCCATTCCACGTGTCTTCCTGTAACCCAGAACAAAATATAATTCAATACATATATAATTCAATACATTCCATGGTCTTTGTTGATCAAAGAATTGCTGATTAAAATCTAACATTTGCAAAAGCACATGTAACTATAAAATGTTCGTTCAAATTTGATAGCATTTACAAAAATGTTGTGACAAATATTTAGCCTCCCATTCTCCAAAATAGGAAACGGAACTCAGTTCACTGATGATCCTAAACCTAAGAACATAAATTTTGCATACACCTGATGCTTTGACATAAAATAACAATTACAAATAATAACAACAAAATGTGTCCACAAGACAGCTTCACATCATCGACTAAATAAATCTAAACAGAAACCCGTGAAAAAGCAGCAAATCACATTGTGCAAAAGGAGAATTATATTTAAATCCTAGACAAGTAAATATACAAAACCACACTGTAGAAAAATATAAACTTTTGCCAGGGGAAGGAGCCATGGGAAGATTTGGTTTGAGACTATTCCAGCGGAAGTATGTAAGACTTCACGAACTCATGTTCATTGTGTTCATTGTATGTGTTCAATTTGAGGGTGTAAGCAAATAAAACAGAAAAGAAACGTGTGTGTTCAATTTGAGGGTATAAGCAAATAAAACAGAAAAGAAACGTAAGCATCCAGTAAAGCATTTTGAGAAAGTAATGGAGGATTATTAGGTACCCCATGGCTTCGTTCTTCGGTGCAGGGCTCGGAGGCTATGGAGGTTGAGCAGCAACGACAGCGAAAACCCTAATCTAAAACTGAAGTTGGGGATTTATATAGTGAACTCTGCTCCGATCCACTGGGCCCGTGTAACAAGTACTTCAAGCCCATTGGGTTTAAGGCCAGAGAAGGAAGTCCATTATGTCACACACAACACATATATAACTAATGGCCATTTAGAAAACTATAATTCTTAATTATTTAATTTTTTTATCAGTAAAAGTTAGTTATTAATATATTAGCTAATAATTTTATTGCTTGTTTATAGAATTAAAAATTAAAATAATAATTTTAATTTGTTTTTATATGTAATTGATGTATATAGTCTACATGTTGTATCTTTCTATGTAATTAATTATATTTTTGATATAATAATATTTACCTTCACATGTTTTATTTATGTGAATTACATAATCAATTAATAATAGTCAGAAACGTAATCTCTTAAGAAATAGTTTGTAAATTATAAATTTTTTATATGATATTATTTAAAATTTATATTCTGTCTAAAAAAATATAAAAATGTTAATTCTTCTGTAAATCATTAAGACAAGAATTATCAATAAATTTCTTCTTTATTAGATTATAATTGAAATGCGATTGTAAATACATACATATATATATATATATATATATATATATATATGCATATTCATATACATTCACTTATTATTATTATTATTATTATTATTATTATTATTATTATTATAACTTATTATTATTATTGTAAATTATTAGTAGTAATAATGTGGATTTAAAATTTTCACTCATCATTTTCTTTAAATTTTTTTTAATAAATTAAATCATTTTAATGATGTTTTAAATAAATAATTTTGTGTAAAAGTTTAATTCATACAAATAAAAAATAAAAATATATGAATTACATGAAATTAAGATATGTTGATAGCTTAAGTTGAATTGTATTTTGTTATGTTTAGATTAACGTTGATACTTATAATTGGTAATATCATTGATATGTGAATTTATATTATACATGATATGTAATTAATTATTAAATATTTTTTATTTTTTAATATTATTTTTAATTTTATAAAACAATTATTTCATATTCAATTATTTCCAACCTTAATTCATATCTATTTTTATAAAATTTGAATCAAAAGTATTTTTATACTTTAATATATTATTCAATTAAATTTATTTTATTATATCAAATCAATGCAATAAACAAATTACAAATTTTTCACTTTCAATGTCATTGACCCACTCCAAACAATTATATACTTCCCTTCAAACAAAACATTAGAAATTAAAAATGAGGTAAGACAAGTTGTTAGCTTTTGTGCGATTGTGTCAAAATAATAATTAAGAATCTTATGTATACTAATTATAATTTTAGTTTATAAACATGTAAGCTTTTTAAAATATCCAAGCTTTTAAAATAATAATAATAATAATAATAAATAAGGAACCGTTATATATGAAAATTTTAACTTTAACATAATAAAATTATATTTTTTATCAAAAACATACAAAAATAAAAAATAACCTTGTGTTTTTTTTACCTTTCCTTTGATGGGTCTACCAAAACACAAAAAAGAAAGTGTGGCGCAAAACTATTATTATTTTTTATCCGTCTAAATTAATTATTTTAAAAAAGAAAAATATTAATGTAAAATTTCATGTGTGTACAATAATTCCACTTTATTAATGGAACTATTTTAATATGAATAAATTTATACAATTTCCTTAAAAAAATACATAGCATTTATTAAATTTAACAAAAATAATATATCTAAAAAAGAAACAATTAATATGCTATAAAAATGGCCAAATGTTACTTTCTAATCCTCTATATTTTGATATGTGAAATTTGAAAAGTTTTTATATGATATTTTGTTGCCACTTATTTTTTTTACCAAAAAAATTAGTCAACACTTGCTAAATTTAATCGAATTAAAATAATGCAAACCAGTAAATTATAAATAATGGGAGAATATTGCTAGAAAATAAAAATTTCATTAGTTTATATTATAATTTATGGATTTCCATTTTGCTTTAAATATAATACGTATGACTAATATATTTGAATTCGTTGCATTTTTAGATTAAGTTTTTCTACGACATTAATTATATTAATGATAGATAATATGTACTCGTTTAATTCTATACTTAATGCATTTAAATTTATATTAAAGATCAAATCATTTAATATTTAAAATAATGATAATAATTATTATTATTGTTATTATTATTTAAAATTTTACTTTTTATTTCGTAATATAATATATTCTTAGTATATGTGTATAATGAAAAATTACATCTTTTATATAATAATATTATTGATACAAAATATTCAAGAAAATTGGCTAATCATTTTTAGTGAATTATTCCTCCCAACCAGATTTATACATAAAAATGTCATATTTACTATATTTAATAAATATCATTATATTTAATATATCATAAATTTGTGTTGACATTATAACATTATTAAGTTTTAAGTTTATTAAATATTACAAGTAAAATTAAACAACAAAATGTAACTTGAATATGGGTATTATTTTTGTAACGATTACAATTTTTTTGCATTTAATAAATTAATATATTAGGAAATATTATTATGATTATATTATAGAAAAATAGGTAATTTGACCGTCCAATATAAAATTAAGTTTATGCTTTCAAAAACAATATTAAATACTATATTTGTAGTAATTAAGTTATTTTTTATTTTATAAATTTCCCTTGACACTTATATTTTCAGGTATTGTCTTTTTTTTCCTTGCCACATTAATTAATATTTTCTTTAATCCAACAAAAATAACATTTTTTTTATTTTCATATCTTTTATTATATAATGTTTTAGATAACTATTTTTCAGTTCTTTTAAAATATATGAATTTCCATTTTAATCTTTATAAAATAACATTTCAAAATTCGAATCCCTAACATGTATTTCGATAAATAACACGTTTTAAAATGTTTTACAGGTTGATATTATATTCCAACACTAGTAAAATTTACTTGAAATAATGAATCATTTTTTTAGAAGGACTAAATAGTTAACTGTTTTTCAACTTTTTCCAACGTCATGATATATTAAATTTAAAGACTAAAACATATGATTAAAATCTGATAATTGAAATCGCAAATTATAAAATGTCATTAAATATTGATTTCATTTAACCCTGTGTTTATTTAATTTTGCAGTTATGATGGCAACATAATCTATTGGTAACACTTGCAATATACTGATTCTATATTGTAGCTGGCTTTGCTTCCCAGATGGATGCCACTGAATATCAGTGTCCTCCGCATTCAACTTTATCATAGTTCTACATCATTGCTGTATTATTCATGTCCACCTAGAAATAGCTTACCCTTTATATTAGTAAGAAAAATGTAATGACAAAACCAAAGCAAATCACCATTTACAAAAACAAGGGCCTAGCATTTCTGCAAACTCAAACTAAACCAATGATCGTTGCTTACAATTTCAAGAACTGAAGGTTTCCTGTGTCCTTCAGTGGATACTCAGCCATAGTTATAAAACTAACATTCCTAACAAGATAGTGGATAACAAATTTGACATGATAATAGTCTCAAATAACAAGAATGAAACAACTTTCATCCTCCAGTAGGGTTGCTTACACTACTTACTATGGTCTAGGGATAATGAAAATTGGTAGAACAGAACAAATACATGTAAGGCCTGGTCTACAATGTAAAACACTCACTGCACAATTACAAAGCCGTAGCAAGCAGCAAGTAACTGGAACCAATAAACCTCGGCAATTTAATAGCAACTTCAAACTATTACTCCAACTTCTTAGCCTCAAAATATTTTGTTACATGGTCTTCTTAAGGCAAATGTCACCCAATAATTGCTTAGGGGGGACCACACCACAGGATTCCTGACATTAACCAAAAGTAGACAAAGACAACAAACAATATAAGTTAAACCATATGAGCAACAAGCTAACCAGATTAGAATGAGTGTAAGATAAGTTGTAACAATACCTGCATATACATTAATGATTCTTCTTCCACAACACTCCAATCTTCTTCAGCATGTTGGTATTTTTCTTCTTGGGTGAGTCGTCATCTGTGTCTTCAGAATAAGGTGAACTCATCTTGGCATTGATAGAATTGTAGCTACTGTCAAGTGAACCGGTTCTCTCCACAAACTTTCCATTGTTCCCAGTTGAAATCATAGCAGCAGCTGCTTCAGCCGCTTTCCTCCACTGGTCTGACTGCACTTTCAACCTCCTTAATTCAGCCTCTAACTCAGAATTTGCAGCCTGGGTGGCGTCTAACTGTTCAGTTACCTGTTCTACTCTTCGGTTACTCTTATCAGCTTCTTCGGTTATGTAGCCAAGTTTCATCAAAGCCTCGCGCTCCGCAGTCCTTGCTGCTTCAGCAGAAGCAACAGCCTCTTCAGGGATTTTACTCTTCTCTAATTCTACCCTCTTTATTTCCATCTTCAGTGCATTGTTTTCTTCAGTCACATTTTGCAGTTCTGTCTCTCTGTCCAATAATCTTTCCTTCAACTCAGCCATATCAGCATCCAATTTTTTGAGCTCCACCATAGATTCAGACTCTGTTTCACTAGGCTGGTTTTGCTTAATCCTTGACATGAGCACCTCATTCTCCTCAGATAAACCTTGCAACTGAGATTCCTTGTCCATCAGCCTTTCCCTTAACTCTTCCATATCAGCTTTAGCTTTCTTCAATTCCACATTTAATGCAGCCTGTTTCTGAGAAGATTCAGATTTTACATGCTCCAGTTGTTCAAAAGCACTTCTAATCTGCAACGTGCTGTGAATATACTCTTCTTGGTACCGTACCTCAGAAACATCTAGCGCAGATTTTAACTGTGCTGCTTCAGATTTGGCAGAAACAAGCTCAGCTTTGAGCTGGCATATCTCTTCATTTTCTACATTCTTCGGTGCAAGTTCATGTTCTACTTCATTGACTGGACCTGACATATTTTTGTTAGCACCATCAACCAAATCAGCTTGAAGTTTCCTGACAAGTTCCTCCAATGATTTCACTTGGACTCTTGATTGCTCCAACTCTAAAGCTAAGGATTTGTAAGCTTCTGATGCTTGAACACCTTCTAACTGGAATGCTTCCACAGTCTTGTTTGCTGCTTCCAATTGCATTTGAGTTTTGCCAACTACTTCCAAAGCCCGGGATTCAGATTCTTTGCAATCACTTACCTCATTTTTCAGCTTTTCCACTAAAGCGAGTGCTTCATCAAGCTCCATCTTCAAATCCTCAATCTCAGCATTGTCTGACTCAGCATTGCTAATATGAACAGCTTCAGATTCACGCACTCTTTCAAGTTGAATTTTCAGTTTCTGGATTTCATTCATGGCAGACACCAGAGCAGTTGAATCCATTGAGTGCTGCTTCTGGACAGCCTCTAGTTCAGATTGCCAAGCTCGATCTCGGTCCTGAGAAATCTTGCGGAGTTCTTGAAGCCGTTCCTCTTCAGAAGCAGATAGTTCCAGAAGTTGTTGCTGGGATTCCTCAAGCTCTTTTGAAATGGCTGAAACCTGCTTCTTTGCCTCTTCAGCCTCCTGCTGAGCTTTCTTCTTCCATGACTCAGAGGAGTTGAGTTGGTCCTTAGTTCTCTTTAGATCTTCTTCGAGGTGAACAAGTTGAGACTCCAATTCTTGTACCCTGCTTGGTCTCTTCTTCTAGAGCCAGATGATAAAGGACAAGGCCATAGAGCAAATAATAAAATTTAAAACATTACCAATAATCTCAGTCTCTTGGATTTTCATGAAGGACTTCTGTAAATGAACAAAACTTACATGCAAGTCCTTAAGTATTTTTTACATCATTTCCCAATCAAAACTAGAATTTCATTTTGTTAATCTGAATAATGGGGTTGCATTAAAAATAAATATAAGTTTATGAGGTGAAACTTTAATTCTGATTGGGAATCAGTATAAAAAATACTTAAGGAACTGTATCTAAATTTTGTTCTTTTGTAAAATAGCTAGAATGGGCTGACTCAGTTTAAGGCATCTAGCCATAGGCTAATTTATATTACCTCGGATATTGGACTCCGTGGTGATTTACGTTCTGCGACCTTTGGACTTTTATTTTTTGGTGTCTTACTTCCTGGTTTTGGAGATGATGAGACTGAGTCAGTATCAGAGCCCGGTGTCTTCAATTTCCGAGCAGTCTGAGGAGAGGCTGGACATTTCCTTGGCACTTCTGAAGTACCAGTTCTGCTCACAGACAATCACAGGCCAATAAGCAGGCATGCATAGAAAAGCATCTTGACACAGCACAGTAAGGTGATCAAGAAGTTAATTTCCAACAGTACCCTTTCAAATTTTTGGAATAAAATGGAATCTAAACAAAAAGCACTGTTTCAACAATGAATTTGGTGTCCATAATATGTAGAGGACACAAGAATATAAAATTTCCTATACGTTACTAGTTTACCCTATTATAATTAGTTATTATATAACAGACTTACTGCAATATGAATTGGAGTTCACAAAACAGCTCCAATTAAATGTTTATGCCCCTGTTTAGTACTTCACTGTTCTTTGAAAAGCAACAAGCTCTAAATAGTACATTCAAATTTAAAAGATAACAAGTAGTACTCGTCCCTCGTTTAGATCCCAATATCCTAGAAAAAAACTATATTTAATTTGTTTGAATTCACTTTTTTGTATTAGGATCTATTAGGAATTCAGAAATGAGCTTTAATTAAATAAATGGTCCCAGATTAAATCCTTGTAAAAGAAAGACCCTTAAATCATAGAACCAACCCTAGTGAACAAAATAAAAGCACTCCATCCCCTCATTAAGATCCAGAATTCAGAAACAGCGGTACAAAAATGGGGTGATGCGAAAGTGTCAAAATAGGACAATCTTACCTTGCTTTTGGTGTCTGCATAATTTAATATCAGGTGTGGTAGGAAGTTATACGAAAGAACCTCTCCTTCAAAGCCCCTGACCCACACTTCCTGCAATAGTAATCTGATAAAGAAACAAAGACAATGAGGAATTTGATTTATAACTGAGAGAAGAGGCAATGGTTTGCACTTTGCACTTTTCATTAGATGACCACCTGGGATCAGCATTCAACAAAAAACCCAACAAACAAACCGCACATAATCCCTTCAAAGAAACTCCAAGTAAACTAACTCCACTACCACCTACCAAAATTCTAAACAAAATGAATAAAATAAATAGCTTTAAAACAAATAGAATCTTGCACCAAAATAATTAGAAAAATATAATTAACGAAGCCCATCTTCCAACTTTTCCAAATTTGTTTTAGACCTTTCCTCCCTTTTACTCCACAGTGCCACGTTACACTTGAGCCCCGATTGACCAGCAACAAACTACAATGTTAACCCCTTTAAGCATCCTATAAAATGCCGCACTAAAAACTAAAATGTAACCAATTTTTCCAAACCCATCATGTCGTCAACAGAACAATAATAACTAGAAATGATTGGGTGGGCTATGCAGACAACTATAATGTCGCAGCTCATTCATGTTTCAAGAGCAAAAACAAAAATGGTTTCGTTTTTGTAACATGGAACCGGTGCCAGACTTGTCAAAGTTAAACACAGGTGAACCTCATGAAAATAGAAGCAGACTTTATTCCCCATTTTTCAATCTGGGTGGTAGGATAAACCCCTGAATTAAAAAGGGAGGAAAGATACAAACTTTAAGGATGCCCTACACAAACGACAGACAAAACCCAGATCTACATGCATCTTGAAACCAAATCACTGATCCGAATGAAGAGAAAAACAAACTATCCTACTCGTGAAAAAAAAAAAAACTTTATAAAATCAAAATGTTTTATTGCAAAGTCTAAGTGCTAAAGCTAGCCAAGGTTGTTGAACACAGAACAACCAACCAGGAAAACAATAATAAAAAAAAAACACACACACACACACACAAAACCCTTGACTTGAACAAATACCGGAAAACCAGAGAGCAGTATCATGTTTTTCCATCAGAAGCACGTGCATGAGTTCCCATTTCCTTCTTCAAAACACACTATGCAGAAAACGATGGGTCGTCCTTTTAGAGAAAAATTGGAAGAAACATGACGAGAGGAGAAAGAAAACAAAAACTAAATAATCCAAAAACCAGAGAGCCACCATGTACTAACACGCTCCCCCCACAGGAACTTGAGTCATAACACTGTTACTGCTATCACAAATTACATCCCAGAAGAAAAGTTCCAAATTTGTAATGGGAGGAAAGAGTTGAAGGGCACACTGAACTCAACACAACACACAGAGATATGAAACTGCATTTACCGAGTGGTGTGTGTAACTTGTGAAACTCTGAAATAGACCTTCTTTCTCTTTCCTCTCGTGCTTCACCTTATTCTCCTCTTCTCTTTCTTCTTCTTCTTTTTCGTTGTTTTCGTTATCTATTTTTTTTTGGAGTTGGAAATGGAGGGAGTGGCTGGGAACAGCAAAATACGTTTGAAACCGAGGCGCCAATGGTGTTATGTTGTACGCTCCAAACTGTGGACGCGACGTCCACGCTCGGGTTTTGGTGGGTCCCACAGGGGCCCGAAGTTCATTGTGATGGGGAGCGGCGAGTTGGCAAGTGTCGGAGAGGGTTAGGGTGGAGGTAGGAAATTCCAAAGTTTCCGTCTCGATGATTGTCTTGTTACGCATCACCATAAATAGGAGTATTAAATAACATGATTGTCTTCCCTTCACTTCTTTCTTCTTCTGCAATCACGGTCAGGTCAGGGCTAAAAAGCTGACTCTGACACTTCAGCGCTAAAATTGGATTAATATATTCGCTTCGATAACCCAAATTTTACTTCTTTATTTTTTATACATACGTTAAATCATTTCGTAACTTCATCAATTTTATCATAATTGTTAACTAGTTTTTTTAATTATTATTTTTAACTTATATCCAATTTTTTAATAATCTCAAAAAATGTGTTAAATGTTCATTTATTATGTATATTATCACATCAACACATTTTAATTGATTTGTAGGAGATATGATTTTATAAGATGTAATAGGTCTTTTAAAACCACAAAACTTGTTATTATAAGTCTTGTATTCTTCCAGAGGTATTTAAAGAGGTTTATTTTATTTTTTTAAATTACAAAATATAATAATTTTGTAGGACTAAAATAAATTTTATATAACTGTTTTTAATTTTTCGAATTTCATGTCTAGGAACTAAAAAATATAAATTACCTATTTAAAATTTGAGGGACTAAAAATTTTAATTATATAAAATATATATATACACATAATTTATTTTTAAAATTAATATCATATTTAGAATAAAATTTATTTATTGGGACTTTTCAGAAGATTCACAAAACAGAAGTATTCCAATATTGTCCAATCCATATATCATTCTCAACCTAAAAAGACATTAAATTACAGATATTTTTTTTATATTATTCAACTTTTTTATTTTAATTCAATATTTAATAATTTATACTATTTAATCACAATTAAAATATTTGTTCAAAATTAAATATGTGAAAAATATAACACAAGAAATCGTTGTTTTAAATGTTAAACCATATTTTTTAACAAGTTTCATTATTTTCTTTTTCGACAATTGTTTTTCAATTAGTTAATGTAACGATATACTTAAAACTTTCATGAAATAATAATTACTTTTAAAATTTATTATATTAATTCATGTAATTGTTTCTATCAAATTAATGTAAAAAGTAATTTGTCATTTTCCTTAATAATTGTGTAGTGGCCTTTCCCCAATTTAAATCAATTTTTGCTATTATGAGTATAAATCATACAAATGAAATATCACATCGAATCTAACTTTGTTCTCAGTGAATATCTCAAATAAAATTATTATTTTTATAACAACTTCAACAGTCAATATACAGGATGAATACAGTAATAACAATAAAAGTGATTAAATATTACAGTAATCAAAATATAGTAAAAGATGAATATTAAAAAAAATGTTTAAATGGAAGAAGTTTTTTTTTATAATTTATATATTAAATTATTATATTTTAAATAAAATATATATTAATATAATTTAAAAATATTGTTTTATTTAAATATTTTTTAATTAATTATTTTAATATAAATATATTAATATTTTTTAAAATTTTAATTATTTTAAAAAATAGATCATTAAAAATGATAAAACAATCTAAGCTCAACAGGATAATCTCTAAGTTAATGTAGGATTAGATTAAACTAAAATTATTTATTTATTTTAAAATATAAAACATGACAATATCGTGTATTAACGTTTTGCTTTATCTCTTTCACCACAAATATCCATCTTCTGCCCATATTTTGTCCAGGAAAATTTGATGAAGGTTTCTAAAATGAAATTATGACTTGCAATTAGCCATAAGCCTCCACACAAATTACATTTATAATATTCAAACTGGGCAAGAAAGTGATAAATGGGCAGGTTTGTAATTTGAATTTGGAGCGTCTGGCTAGGTTTGATTTTTGCAGCCATCACTTCATTGAAAGAATCATCTTCCTCTTCCATGATTTTGTCTTTACATGCAATTGGTCCCTCTTTATCTGAATCACCCTATTCTAAATATTGACTTTGATTTTAATTTTCTTTGTACTTCTTATAGAGAGTAAAACTCTTCGGTAGTTTTTTTTTTTTTTTTATAAACAAATAATATCAATTAATTAAATTCAGTATAACGGGTACTTAGATCCCAAAAATAGAAAGTATAATACAAAGTAAAGAAAAATTATTAAAAAACACATTAAACAAAACAGATCTAAGGATTATTGTACTAGTCTACAAGGTTAAAAGACATTCACATATCAACCAAAGAGATCTACTTCCAAGAATAAAGACGAATAGAATCAACCAACTTCAACCCATCCACAACGCCTTATTTAAAAAATGTGGTTGTTTTCTTTTACCCTATCGGTGAAAAATGAGAATTTAACTTAAAAAAATACACCACATAAATAAAAAAAACAAAAAATTGAAATAAAAAGAAGAAAAAAAGTTATAAATTAATTAAATTTTCAAACTCATATTGATATTATTAATAATTTTTACATAATTTAAGAATTAAGATGAAAGATTAATTTATATTCACTATGATATCTTAATTCATTGAAATTAAAACTAAAAAAAAAGCAATATTTCATATATATATATATATATATATATACATATATATATATAATGATCATAATAATATTATTATATCTATTATAATAGATATAATAGTTAAATATTTTTGTTTTTAATAGGAATAGATATTATTATTTTTATTATTAATATAATAACGAAATCACCCCTAAGACAAATTGTTGGCAAATTTTAGGTCATGTATATATATGATACATATTTAAATGTGTTAGGGTCATTATTTATTAAGCCAAATAATAAAGTGATCTGAATAAATTAAAGTTTTGGCTAAAGGAATATGTCATGAAAATATGATTGTGTAGAGACCATAGAGTAATTTCTAATTTGATGAGGGCCAAATTGAAAATACTAAAACTTAAGTAATTAACCTAATTTTGGTTATATAAAGGGTCATGGTCCCCTTCTGAGAGCATAGAGACAAAACACAATTACAGTCCCGTTCTTTTCTTTTTATCCCCATCAAGAGAGAAAATCAAGAGGGAAATACAGGTGCTCTTCAGGGGGAAGACCATAAGATCAACTCAAAAGTGCTCTACAAAGGATATTGTCATTATGACCAATTCAGGTACGCTTTCGCATTTAGTTTATAACATGTTTACAGTATGGGATTATTGATACATGTTTGATCATTAGAATGAAGATAAAATATAATTATTAGTTAACCTAACAATTGGTATCAGAGCCAACTCATACTTAATTCATGTTTGTGTTAGGAAATATTTAAGAATTTAGATTAATTTACGTAACCCTAAATCCCTAATTAAAAACCC